TACCGTTTGCCTTACAAGAGTGATTGCTATTATTTACCTTACAGAAGGAAAGATTTTAGGAACTGATATTTTTGTTTTAATTATTGCTAGAAATCAGTCACCAAATAAATTCTGAAATTGCTGAGAAAAAGTCATAGAATCATGGAACCACAGAGTGGTTATGGTTGAAACAACTTTGCAGATCATCTGGTTCCAACTTCACTGCCATGGGCAGGGACATCTTCCACTAGACCAGGTTGCTCCAAGCTCTGTCCAACCTGGCCTTCAACACTGCCAGGGATGGGGCAGACACAATTTCTTTAGGCAGTTCCAGTGTCTCACCCTCACAGTGAAGAATTTCTTCCTCATAACTAATCTAATCTATCCTCTTTCAGATCAATGTTATGCTCCCTTGTCCTAGCAGTATAGGCCCTAGTAAAAAGTCCCTCTCCGGATTTTTTGTAGGCCCCTTTATATACTGGAAGGCTGCTATAAAGTCAACCCAGAGCCTTTTCTTCTCTGTGCTGAACAAGCCCAACTCTCTCAGCCTGTCTCCATAGGAGAGGTGCTCTAGCCCTCTGAGCACCTTTGTGGCCCTCCTCTGGACTTGCTCCAACAGGTTCATGTCCTTCTTGTGTTGAGAGCCACAGAGCTGAACACAGCACTTCAGGTGGCATCTCACAAGAGCAGAGTAGAGGGCAGGATCACCTCCTTCAGCCTGCTGGTCATACTCCTTTTGATGCAGCCTAGGATACAGTTTGCTTCTGGGCTGCAAGCACTGTCTCATGTCAGAACAGGTCATGTTGAGCTTCTCATTAACCAACACCCCCAAGTCCTTCTCCTCAGGACTGCTTTCAATCCATCCTTTATGTAGCCTGTAGTTGTGCTGGGGGTTGCAGGACCTTGAACTTGGCCTTGTTGAACTTCGTGAGATTCACACTGGCCCATCTCTCAAGCCTGGAATCATTCTTGTCCTCTTCCAGTACATCACATCCTGCTGTACATCTGTGCAGGCAGGTGCTGAGGCTAGTGATATGGATCTGGGACTTTCTTGAGAACAGTAAAACATATTTTTTACTTTACATCTCTGTGGTTTGCATGCGGATGTGATAATGCTCTGGTCTTCTGAGAACATTGCAAACATAAGCAATAAACGATCATAGTATGATACTTATTTAAAGATTGGTGCCCTACCCATAGCAGATGGAGTATACAGGCCTGTCCATTACTTTTTCAACATGTCTAGTTTCTTTATCCTGAAGGCAAACATATATAAAGTTGTTGGAAAAAATCTCAAGCCTTTGCATTGACAAACATACAAGAACATTTAAAATTAAAGCTAAAAAGCAAATATAACTCTCAGAGGTGTCAAATAAAAAAACCAAGTAAATTATGAATATGGCTGAGCTCTTCTCCCTATCTGTGCTAATGTAAACCTTAAAATATGAGGATCAAGTTTTGGTGTTGGACCTCCCTGCCATGTCAGCTGGTAGCAATTTCTTGGTAACATTTCCATAGTCTTTCCTCTTTTTTTGACCCTAGCTCAGCTGTGGATGAATTGCAGTGAGGTGAAGGGAGAGTTGAATGGATGCTGACAACTCCACAGCAGCCATGACTACTGTCTTTGGTTGGCTAATGTCACACTATACGATACCAGGTTAAGGATGAACCTGCCCACAGTTATGGCCCTGTAGCAATCAGCTTGATAGACATGCAGAGGGGAAGCAGGACTCAAAGGTAGGACAGAAATGAAGGTACATATGCACAGAAGACACATGAAGTAGGCAGGCTATTGTAGTACAGAGCAACATGATAGTGTAAGTCAAGTATTGATTGATAGTGGGGCAGGGAAGCAGGCAGGATCTCTTTTTATTATGAATTTTATTGAAAAAAGTAAACGTACCATATATACTGAAGTAGCTTATAGGTTTGTTCTTCAGAGTTTATAGAAAAATCTGAGAAACCAAGATCTGGTTCATCCCCTTGCCAGCCAACTCTTGGTTATCTGCCCAGACCATTCCAGGCAATGATGCTATATTAAAGATGCTCTAGGCATCTTGTACTTAAGAAAGAGTACATAGCCTGAATGTAAGAAGTGAATGTGCTGAGTAATTTATCCAGAAAACATCAGGAGAGCTGTAAAGGGATTAATACAGATCCTCATTTAAAGCAAAACCTGCTCCTGTATTGTTTCATAAAAAAAGAGGCAGTTCCTTTTCTATCTCAAACACCAGAAGAACCAGACTCCACAAAGTAGATGTTAATAAAACTCATGTCTGGTAAAGGCTAGAAGGATAACTTACCAACCTTATTTCACTCAAAATACCTCCATGGTAGTTGATATGAAACCCTAAACTGAAGAAAAAGCCCCCCAAAAACTCAGCTAAGATGCCATGTTCAGCATTGCCTTCTCATGGTGGATGAGCTCTGGTGCCTTGGGAAGGAGCATTTGCGAGCGGTGCTGTAAGTTCAGTAGAGAAGATGGCGCTGCCCCTTGAAGACTGGCAAAATCGACAGTGTGTGGGGTGGGAGGCATTTTCTTTACAGTTTTTTTATGTTTGCCTTAGGCAACATCTCCCGAGGGCTGCATTAGGTGAGCTTCCCTCTTCACCTAGCTCAGTTTGAGGATGGATAGTGATCACAGGGGAGATCATGCTGCACTGTGCAGAAGTTTTAAAAGTTACCTTTATAAATACCTAGGGGTTGATTAAAATCACGTGGGCTATTTCTGCAGGAAAATGTCTCCCTCCTATGCTTTCTGTCAGAACTTTTCCTTCACAGCCCACGTTCCACCCTATTCCAGACAAATGATCTTCTTCCTTTCCCTTGTTCCTTCCTATGTCAGGGATAGTTTCTTATCTCCTCTGATTCCCTTGGCATGCCTGTTGCTTGCTGTTGCCAGTTGTTCTCCCCAAACTGGCCTTGAGAGCGGTAGTGAATACCACGGAGGAGTCACAGGCTGTCTGCCAGTCACTCAGACATTGTTGGAAATGGTGCTCTGGTGATCTTGGTCTGGTAGCCACTTAAATACCAGGCCACGCACAGAGGGACTGGACAGGGAGAAGGGTAAGATAAGAGCCTTGTGTCAGCATCGGTTGCCATTGATTAAGGGACATTTCAGAGTGAAGAGCAAAAGTAATAAAATAAGGCTGTTATAAAAGTGTATTGGAGGGTTCACTCTGTGGCCATACTTTTGGGATCTGAATACTGTGTTGCTCATAGTTTTGTGCTGCTGCTGGATGGGATACCTAAGCTGGGACCCAGAACCTCTCTAGACGGGATCTGCAAATACTGGACTCGTATTTTCCTACAAGTCTATTTTTTTTTTTCCTGTGAGACAGCCCATATTGCCCATCAGATGCGTTATTATCCAAAGCTGTTCCTCACCTGGTGTGACCAAACAGAGCTTCAATGAGTAAAGAAACAGGCAAAAATGACTTTGTATTGTCTGTGGATTGCAGAGAAGGACTTGGCAGTACTGGTGGATGAAAGAGCGGACTTGCGCAACAATGTACGCTCATACCCAGGAAGTCAACCATATCCTGGGCTGCATAAAAAGAAGTGGGACTAGTAGGTCAAGGGAGGTGATTCTGCTCTGCTCTGGTGAGACCCCACCTGCAGTACTTCATCCAGCTCTGAAGTCCTCAGTAAAAGACAGTCATGGACCTGTTGGAGCAGGCCCATGTCTGTGTTTTACTCACAGGAGCACCTCTTCTGTGGGGAAAGGCTGAGGGAGCTGTGGTTATTCAGCCTGGAGAAGAGAAGGCTCCAGGGGCCTGGTTGTGGCCTTTCACTACTGAAAGGGGTCTTACAAGAAAGATGGAAATACAGGAGGACCTGTTGTGATAGGACAAGGGGTAGTGGTTTCAAATCAAAAGAAAGTTGATTCAGACTAAATATATGGAAGAATTTTTTGCGAGACTGGTGAAACACCGGAGTAGGTTGCCCTGAGAGGTGGTAGGTGCCCCACCCAAGGGAACATTCGAGGTCAGGCTGGATGGGGCTTTGAGCAACCTGGAACAGTTGAAGATGTCCCTGCTTATTGCAGGGGCGTTGCACCAGATGACCTTTGAAGTTTCCTTCCCACCCAAACTATTCCGTGATTCTGTGGATATGGCACATTTATGCATTCATTCACTTCTCACCTCTGGACTACAATTAATCCAGAAATCACATCTAGTCATATGAAAAAACCCTTATAGGAGTAGTCTTGTATTATTGTACCTTTAATCTTTAGTGATCGCTGGAAGTGCTTAATAGGGTCTTATTGCGTAAGCCCCTCTTTTAGCCACCTTTGGAGAGTGTTCCATTGCACTCTGTACTCGAGCTGGGCCTCAGCTATGTAACAGGCATGAACGTTTGCATCCATGTCTGATCTACTTACCTTACCCATGGTCCATGGAGAGAAAAAGGCACTTCTAGGTCATGAATTGTCTTGTCCAAATGCAGGCATGAAGAATAATTAGGTGAATCACACTCTAAACCTGCTTGTTTCTCTCAACTTAATTGGGAAATTGTACAAGGAGGATGGGGTGATTAGCTTATATGCATACACCTACACTGAGAATGTCTCCAGGGAGGTGAGTTGAACCTCCCACAGGTCTAAGACAAGTGTGATGAACCCTCTGGAGTGTCTTATAGAATCATAAAATCATAGATTATCCATCTCCATTGCTTAGGAAATGAGTCAAAGGCAGGCACCCAGCTTAAACTAGACACTTATCTTCTAAGTTTCTAAAATTAAATTAAATTACTCCCACCCTGAATCTGTATCAGCCACGAATAAGCAAATATTTTTTTCTAGAACTGTTGTGCATTCTCCAAAAGATACACCAAGGATTCAGGAAGCAAATGCAGAAAAATATCTGAGAAGTTTCACATTTAATTTTTTTAGTATTTTATTTAAAGCTTTTTATTTTATAAGTTTTCTCTTTGATGATCAATTTGTAACTCAAAACACAGAACAGATTAACTCCCCTTTGGCATTGGAAGGGTTAATCTGAGTACCCTGATGGCAGGGAGGTTGTACCTGGCTAGTTGAGGGCAGGTTTGGACACTTCTTCCGTAACTTTTATGGCATCAATCTCTTCAAGTACCTGTTTCTCAGTAACTTGAGGAGGGAGAGGACTGCTTTCTGGAAGTTGTCTACTGTCACTACATAGAACAGGAGGTTTGCAATGGTATTTAATGCTGCTAAAGGTTTAACGATATTATACATATTATGGATCAAGTTATTCAAGTGGCAGCTAACCGGTCGTGCTCGGATCTCCAGGCGAATTCCTCGAAAGATGTGGAAGGGGAGGAAGCATGCATAGAAGAGCACCAAGATGACAATGGCAAGTCTGCGAGCCTTCTGTTTGTAGCAAGCCTGTGTGTGTGGCCCAGTGGCTAAGGTGTAAATAATGAGCACGTAGCACAGAGTCACAGTAATCAAGGGCAATAGGAAGGCAAACATCATCAGCAGCCAGTTATACCATCGACTAGTTTCAAGATCCGCAGCAGCAGACAGGTCAGGACAGATTGTCTTGTTCTGCGTATGCCTTGTGGCAATCAAGATGCCCAGGGGGCTGATGGTGGCCAGGGAAATCATCCAAACAACTACAGAAGTCACCACTGCCCATCTCCGTTTTTTAACAAAAAAGAATTTAATTGGGTAGACAACTACAAAAAAGCGTAAGACGCTGAAGCAGCTAAGGAAGATAATACCACTGTACATGTTGAAGTTGAAACCAAAGTGAATAAACTTGCACAGGAAGTCTCCAAAAATCCAGTTATTTCCATTAAAAGAGTAGTGTATAAAGAAAGGAAGCGTGGCTAAATATAATAGGTCAGTGATAGCCAGATTGAACATAATGATGGTGCTGCTTTTCCAGGGCCTCATCTTGACAAAGTAAACAAAAATTGTCATGATGTTCGCTGGGAAGCACAGCACGAAGATTAGGCTGTAAAAGGCAGTGAGATAGTATTTCCCCTCTGAGAAATCTTCATTCTTGCAGGTTGTAAATGGGTCTGTGTGGCCTGGTTGAGTAGTAAAATTGCTGGTGTGTTCAGATGCCATGTTTGCAGAGATCTTCTCAAAGCTTACAAAAAAAAATCAGGTGTTTAGTTTTAATTGATTTGTTGAGACAAATGCATTCAGTTACATCATTTGCTGCTGGTATATGTTTGACAAGGCATAATAGAGGAAAGAAATGGGGATTTGCCAACATACCCAGGTCTGACCTAGGTAACCCCACTGAAATGTTTAACTTCACCCTCCTCTCTCCTTTATTTTTTATTTTGATAATTATTATTTTTTTTCTCTTGATCTATTTGAACTCCTACCTTGAAGAAGTCAATTACTGCTTATCTGGAAATCTGCAGGAGTAGAAAGCACATATTTATAGACATAGAGAGAGTTTGGGCAAGATTTTGCAAAACTATGAATTAGTCTTAGCTTTTTAGACAGTAGTAGAACTGTACCCATATCTTATCTACATTAATCTGAGCTAATCGTTTTTTTTGTGCTCATGAAACCAGAGGTGCTGTTCTTGTTTCATGAAAACCAAAAGATAGCAGGTTCAAATACAGATCTCAGGACCTGATGTTCCAATAACCTGACAATCAAGGCTCGTTCCATGAATATGAGGTTGCTCTCTTGGAGTCATCAGAGTATAAAGCTATTAAAAACAAGAAAAAAAGGTCCAGCTAAGCTTTTAAAGACTGCTACTCAACGTGCAGAGTAAAGATGGAATGCACAGATATTGAGTGGAAGCACCGGTTTTCCTTCCCATTCTGTGTGAATTTCAGCTAGATAGACTTGTCTCTGAAATGGTTTCTCATCTACCATAGCCAATTTGGATCTATTCTCAGTGAGTTCAAGACATAACCTTTCTTGGTAGTGCTTTAAGCTGAAACAGTGGTAAGCAAGGATGAAAATCACCTTATATAACTTCAGATATCAGAAAGTTAGGTGCTTAAAGTGAAGCCAGTCATCCTAAGCCCCTCTTTAAAGCCCCCCTTCATCATCAAGGGAGAGAGGTAGGTTCCTCCAGGACATAATATATCTTCCCATATGTGAGGTTTCTATGAAAAATTATTTACTCTTTTGGAGGCATACCTATTTCTTTCCACTGACGACAAAAGCAGCCCAAGGTGACTGGTTCAGACCTGGATGCCTCAAGTGAGGCAGGAGACATGCCACTGTATGTCTTCAACATCTTAGGTGAGCACTACTCCTCCAGATCCTAACCAATTCCATGTGAGAAAATATTTTTCAGTGACTTCATAAAGTGCTAGACAGGGTACTATCAACACCAAATCCCTTTTTTTTGTGCCAGAAACAGAGTCTTTAAACTCAGTCAGTGTTATATTGAACATCCAGATGAAGTCATCACATCAGAAAAAACAAAAGAAAACAAAACAACAGACATAATTCTACCTTATTGCAGTTCTGGAAACCCTGTGTATAGAATTCATTTTTATGTGATTTCTGTTAAGAGCATTTAGCATGTTACCTATATGGATATTTCTTCATTATCCCAATGTCTGGTAGAAATGACAAATTTTCCTTGACAAAGCCAATCAGGAAAGCTGGGACACAACGGAATTATTTGATCATAACCAGTCAGAAAGATGGGTATCACTTTGTTACTCACAAGCACTCCAGAGAGAAATTTAAACAGTCTGCCTGTAATTTGGTTAAAACACTGATGCTTTTTAACACAACTGTTAGCTCTGGTATAGCGGCTTTACAGTTAAAGATGCATTACGTAAAGGCCATGAAGCTTGTTTTAAACAAATCCAGATTCACATTCACAAAATCTAGTGACATTCATGAGTTTTCACTCTTTTCTGCTTTTCTGCTGTTTGGTGATACCGCTGTCATCCACTTTTATGCCTCTCACTGGTATATTTCAAGTAAAGTTAGAAAAAAATTCTAGAGTATTTGATTCATCATGTTTAGGTTTCTTGCACTGATGATCAGTTCTCCACTGAAATCTTGAACCCTCCAAACCAAAAATGGAGAAATATTGCTTACCTGAAAACATGCAATTCTGCTTCTCCCTTTGATATTGCTTTGAGCAAAGAGCACTACAAATGAAATGTATTTATGTCTTCTTTACAGTGAAGCAGGTATTTTATATGGCTATGCAGCCATATACATTCACTCCCTGCAGACTAAGACTCCATGTGGCCATAAATTAGGAGAACGGCAGAAAACCTCAGTTAGTGGCTCAGGTTTCAGCTCTTAGACCTGGGTGGCTGGACGAGATCTCTTTTGCCCTCTGCCATTCATGCTGTCTTGCCTTCAGTGAGCAGATTGCACTTTGCTGGCAGCAGTTCTGTGTGCTGAGCTAGACCTGTAGTATTCAAATCACAGGAGATCACATTTAAATTAGTGTGTGTGTGTGTGTGCATGTTTATAAAAGAGAAAATTAAATTTGTTCTCTGTTTCCTGTGAAGTGGAACCTGATCACCAAAGTGAATCAGGCGTGTTGCCATTTCAAGGTCAGGTGAAAAATGTTTTGATACACTGCCTTCATTAAAACCAAACTTCTATGAAGTACAGTTTTCATCTCATGCAAGAAATGAAGGTTTCCTTTGGCGTGATGTGCTTTTCAGGAACTGTGGCATACTTTCTGCCAGTTTTGGTGAATAGAACATCTACAATTAGTGTTGGCTGTTTGTTACTGGGGTAGCGGAAGTTGCAAACTTGTCTTCTTTTGGGTCTTTGCTTCTGGGCTTCATGATTCACAAGAGCTGTGATTTTCCATGCTTCTTGAACCAAAGGACTGTTCTTGAATAAAAGTGTCATCATCATGCTCAGCTCAATGAACAAGTTCAAAGGAGATTATTATTTAAAAAGAAAAAACAAAAGTCATAATATGTTGAATTTTGAAACAGCAGGCTTCAATCCCTAAGCCCAGCTGCCCAGTGTGGCCAGCAGCCTTTTGGCCATGGTACATTTTATAGGTCTTATCCACTGATGAGGCTTATGATCCGGTATTAAACGAGTAATCTTTCATTTCTGAACATTTCTTATGTTAGCATAGTTAACATACATAACTGAGAACCACACAGATAACAATATTTTTTGGAAGGTGTCTTGACTCTCTGTGAGTGTCTGTACCGTAGGCATGAGCTGGGAGAAGGCTATCTGTTTTGCTAATCATACTGCAGAGAAACAGTGATAACAGGGATAATCAAGACTGGGGCAGCAGTAATATCTGACAACTAGAACATTATCTATCTGTTGCCATTAGGGGAAAGGCATCACCTCTGGTCTCATCTGACCAAGCTTTTCTCTAGGTCAGTGCCTAGAGCAGTTTTAAAAAATGCCCAAAGTTTCTCAATAATTGTAAAATTCACTGTCTTGTACTAGCTCTGGGATCAGCAACTGTTTAGATAGCTATTACCCTGTTCTAGACACTGCATGTGTCATTAGAAACCATTTGTATGAGGCTGCAGTGTTATAAACACAGAGGGAGCTAATTATAGTTAGGGATCATTTAATGCATCCACTGCTTAATCCATTATACCCCTAAGCAATAGGGGTGTGCTCCTGTGCTCCCCTGTGCTCCAGTGGCTGGTATTTATCCTTCCGTAGTGGTGGCAGTGCCTGATGTGAAGGAAAAATGGGCCCTCCCAGCACCATGGCCCAGAACTGCCAGGGATCTGGGGCACTGGGATCTTGAGCAGGCATTGGAGTCACCTCTGAGTATCTGACTCTGGACAGGAAAAGAAAATAAAACTTCCATTTTCAGACTTCCAGTTTCAGGAGAGGGTGTCTAATGGAAGGTCATTTATGCAGAGCTGCTCTACAGGGAGACCGAGACATACATCTTAGCTTTCCTAAACCTTTTCTCATCATCAGCTGTAGAGACCACATGGCTCCTGCCTCTGCTGGCCTCCCTGCACCCTTCACCAGGGTTTCAGACATTCCTCATTTCACATGGACCTTTGGAAACATTGGCTTTGTTTTCAGCCATGTGACTGGTGCAGGGGCTTGTGTCAGGCACTTGGGAAATTATGGATAAACTAACAAGTGCCTTGCAAATATCTGATTAAAAATGCTTGCTTGGCATCATGTAGTATCTCTGTGAATAAATGGTGATCCTGCAGTGTGACTTTCAACTCTGCAGTCTATGGTCCTTTTTACCACTGGTTTCTCCACCTCATGCCCATGGACCTTTTAAGTCTGCCTATAGCTAGACCAATCTGATCCTTACCGAAAACATGGCTTCTTTTGTGCTTTAAGGCTACCCTTGCCCTGCTCCCATCCACAAGCATTGGAAGAAAATCAAAATACGCTGTAGTTTCACAGTTGGCTTAAGTGACTCTAATTGCAGGCTGCTGTTGAAAGAGTTGGCAGCACCACCTCCCTCCTCTTATCCTAAACCATGTTTTTAACAGCCCAAGTGCTTGTGCAATCACGGGATGTGTTGGATAAGTGAGCTGATGAAAATAAAACAGTTTTCTTATTCTTGGGTTAGTTTTCTGGCACTTTGGTGAAGGCTATGGCTCCTTTCATGGATGTGTGGGCTGCAGTGGCAGGGACTGACCAGGGACAAGGACAGCAAAGGCAGACCAGTTCAAGCTGGCAGCAAGGTTGCATGTGGGTTTCTGCTGTGGAGTGGTGTTTCTCTTACCATTACTGGCAAACAGCACCCTCAGCTGAAGCCAGTCCCAGCAGTGCTCCCCTCTAGAGACAGCACTCAAATCTTGTTTCGACAGTCTTCCAGGCAGGTGGGATTGATGGGCTGTCATTTTCTCTAATTTGATGAGCATTGATAAGAATTGCAAAGACCTGTAATCCAACAGCAAAGGGCTAGCTATTTGTGCATTTCCTGAAGCAACCATTATAAAATCCTACAGAGTTCATGTGTGTATATAAATATTGCTGTTAGTCACTGTATAGAAAGGAAACTGGAATGATTTGGTGTCAGGATTAATAATTCAATATTTCCTCTTAAAGCTTTTTACTATAGGCTGGGTCAGTTATCACAGAGCGCATGACGCAGATGGGATCATCTTTTCATATTGTATCTGTGATGGCAGGGTGAAGAGGATATGCAGGATGACAGATGAGTTCACACACCTACACACCTGGACTAGACGATCTGTTTCAAAAACTTCCAGTCTAAAATACAGATGTGGAGAACGAAGTCCAATATTTCTATTATGATTTGTGACTTATTGAAAACAATGTCTTTTTCCTACAATGTCTCTTTCCTCCAAATGGCCTCCTTTGTGGGCATTGGAGCAGAAGAAGTCTTGGCAGGGCTTTTTGTGGTGTCTCAGCATCACTAATGAACTTGACTGCAATTAGGACTCATAGGCATGAGGGTCCACAAACTGCTTCTCCAGTGCAGGGGCCATTCTCGTCTGATAAAACCTGGCCTAAAATCCATGGACATGAGTGAAAGAATCCTTTCAGAGTCAGACCTTCAGACATGACAGCACTCAGTGTGGTGCAGTAGAAGCATCAAGAATAGCTCTGATTTATAATTATGCAAGAAAACAGGCAGTTTGTTGGGCAAGGGCTAAGCTCCAGAGCGTTAAGAGCTTTCATTATAAGTTTTACTTTTAGTTCAGCAAACATATAATCTTTCCATGGGTTATTTCCCTTAGCAGACATACATTTGTTTGGTTGATCTTCCTCTGTGTGTGATTGAATACCTAATTACAGTTGTTATCAGACCATGGTCAGGAGATTCTGTTTTGTTGAGAATGATACTGTGCATCTTCATCACATGAGGAAATCAGCTCCGGCTCTCCCTTTCTATTTCTCCCCTGAGTCAAAATGGTAAGGACAGCATTTTTTTAATCCCTAAATGCATGGTAACTCTAAATTAATCACAGTTTAATGCTGCTATCCAATTATGTAGGTGATAGAGACTGTTAATGAAAACCTCTGGAAAGGAATATTTTACCTTAGGAAAATTGCATATATAATCTGGAATATAAACAGTGCTGCTGCCACTGCATCTGAGCAGAAGTAGTGTGATACAGTTCCAAAAATAGCCTGTATGGATCTGAGGTACTATTTATGGTTAATATTAGTCCTCAAAGTGAATTGGTGCTCATCGACTGCAGGGCATAGAAGATAAAATCTTCTGCAGCCCTTAGATGATCGCTGAACTTCAGAAGGTGAGTTACCCTGTAGGGAGTGGGGAGACAAAAGGCAGTGGGACAGTTTGCCTGCTCAAAACCAATGTATGCTCAGGTACTTCGGTAGAGCACTGACAAGACCATAAACTTGTGAATAAAAAACACCGCAGGAGCACCCAGCTTTGAAGTGGCTTTAAACACAGCAGCTGCACCAGTTAAAGGTTTCCCAGCAGACACTAAAAGCCAAACTAAACTCATCAGAGATGCGACAAGAGTTGTAATTGTTTAAGGTAATGGGGCATTTCCTGAAAATGAGCCAGCTCAGACTGAAAACAGAGAGGACCAATTTGCTGCCTTGTTATTTTGTTTTTTTTTTCAATTCCAGACAAGCAGCCTTCTTGGCTCCCAGTAATGTGCCAGTACAGGATTCAGCAAAGGGTGCTGTTCATGTGGCCTCCAGCTTATAAGCAAGTTTTCAGTCATTGATATATACTATTGTGCTGCCATTGCTCTTGTAATTTGCTTGCAGAGTGCTGTGGCACCTGCCCTTTGCCTTAGGCCACTCTAATAAAGCTTTGTCTTCAGAAAGTGACTTATACCGTCACAGCCCTCTACACATGAATGCAATATACACACTCAAAGATGAGCCTTTCCATTCTCCAGATGCCATTTCTTCAGCCCTTAACTAATGCCTGGCTCTTGGCAGAAGGACACCGGGTCCCTTTGTTACTGCACTGGTCTCTGCAGTCCTGCTACCACCATCCCGATGCCACTTGCTCCCACCGGCATCCCTCTTCCCTCCCTGCCCAGATCCCACCTGCCAAAATTCCTCCTCTGCTTTGGAAATTAACCTTTCCCAGTGGGGCTGCAGCGAAGGGGGCCACAAGGAGGAGATGAAAGGGAGCTCAGCTATGTAAGATACACTTCATATTTTAAAAGCATCATTTTCCTCCCAACCTTATTTCTTTTAATGTTTTTCTTCACACAATCACTGACGTTATAAACTGGTAAATTAGTTGTTTGCATTACCAGGGCTTGTTTCTGATAAGGTAAGGTAATTATCAGGTGGAATTTTACTATCATAAAGGAATAAGCAGGAATAATTATCAGTCAAAGTGAAATTAGGAGGTTGCTTGACCACAGTGACAAAATAGAACTAGAAACCCTCAAGGAAATGCTCAGCAAATCACCACTTGACTGCAAATATCTTGTATTTTTGGGGGCAGCCTCTTGCTTTCAGGAAGAAAGCTAAGCAAACAGAGAAGGTGTTCAGGCTCCTCATCCCAAATTATTCCTATTCCATCCTTCCTGGAGAGAAACCCCTCTATAAGCGTGGCAGCACATAGGCAGCTCCCTCTGCACTCCCCTTTGCCAAGGCTGCTCTGCCAGCCTCACCCAGAGATTCATGTAGCTTCTCTGTTTTTGAAAAAGTCTTGTGCTCTTTAAATGATGCTTAAATGCTAAGTGTTATTATCCTCAGGCATTTGAATGGCTCTCCAACTATTCAGATTGGGTGGAGGCACAGACAGTTGAAACAGCCTTATAAGAGATAATTATGCAAACTGAGCCTGCGGAATTTATAATTTTTTTTTTTTTTAATTTAACCTTTCTCCTCTGGCTATTCCATGCTCATCTAAATCAAATATATGAAAAGGAGGGGCTCTTCCCTTCCCGGGCTTTCTCTTCGTTTACTTTTCTATGC